GAGACAGTTGTAAGCACTGTGTAACTGCCTCGAGGGTGCTTGACCATTTTAACACAACGTGGTGCAATCATCCCCCTTGCGCGGAGTGAGGGTTCTCCACCCCGCACGACATGATCTACTCGACCACCATTATGGTTACCGCCCAAAAAAAAAACAGAGGTAAAAAACAAACAAACGGTAACCTGGTTGCCGAGTTCACGAAGTGAACTGGCTTGTTTTACGACGTCGTTGCCAAGCGACGAAAACCCAATTTCGATGGCAAACACAGAGGGGGGGGCTTGTTTTACAGCGTCGTTGCCAAGCGACGAAAACCAACCCCGATGGCAAACACCGGGGACGGGGCGGGGGGCGGTATAAAAACAGAAAAATAGAACGTTGGTGTATGTGTGTGTCTGTGGAAGACGGTGCAGAAGGGGATGGACGCTGGAATTCGCTCCATGACAACAGTACTCGAGGGACACGGGAGGTAAAGACCGTGCACACGTCCGTCCGCCACAACGATGACGGCGAGAACGAACAACAGCGAAAAGTCGAAGCGAGAAAAAAAGCATCCACAAACCTGCTCTAGCCTGTCGGAGAACTCCAAGAGAAACGACAGCCGCTTCTCTTCGTTCCAGAAGAACGGGTGTTTGCAGACCTCCCCCGCCGACGGCCTCAGGTCGGGCTCTCTAGCCGTCATCAGAGACACCAGGTCGTGCGCGTCCGGCACGTGTTCCAGTTCCGTGATGCGGCTGTCGTGTTTTTTTCGACGGCACATGGAGCGGCAGTACCAACGACGTCGATGTTTTGACGACGGACGTTGACGTAAGTTGACGGTACAGCAGGCCGTGAGCGGCGTTCGTGGTCCTCATAGCCGTGCATGCCCTCGTTGCTATACCATTGACCTCGCACCCCTACAAGGCAAGGGCGGAGCACGCCGGCTTCTCACCAGACCAGGTTCTCACGTCACCATACGGGTGGGGGGGGATACACCAACAAACACAACGAGCAGGTGCCAAGATGTTGGTGGTGACGGCGACAATGACGCTGGAGGACACGCACGGCTGAAATTCTTGAAGGGGGGCCGATTCGAAGAGCAGGACTGAACGCGATTTCGATAACCCCTTGGCACTCCGACAATACCAACCACACCAGCCCAACGCGACAGCTCCTCACCTAGCCTTATCCTGAATGATGTTGGCCTCTCGCTCGTACCACTGCCCGAAAGGGTGGGAGCCAGGGACGATGCAGTGGTGGAAGATGCACCCGAGGGAGAACACGTCGACCGCCTGCGTGCGGCGGGAGGAGGACAAGCTAGGGCCGCCGGCCATTGCCCAAGACGAAGCGCTCGCACCGGACCCAGATCGAGACGTGGACAAGGAGCTGCTGAACAACGACGTGCGCCGCGTGGGAATTTGAGGCCGCACGGTCGGGCGTTTTCGTGAGGGGAGAGGCGGCCGGTGGCAAGGGAGGGGGGGGTGAAGGGGGCCGATATCTGAGGACAAATGCTGACATAATCGGGGACAGACAGAAACAACCAAACTCAAGGCTCTACCCATAGATTCGACTCATTTCTTCGTGCAAGACAAGGTCCATAGTCATTGAAAGAACACATTTGCCCACCCTGCCGAGAACTGAAATACTATCCCCCCGGGGTATTAACTCTATGAACATCAACACAACTGTGTGGGTGTGATGCCTTGGTGTCGTGTGCCCAGAGTGTCCGCCTACACACACCTTTCTGCCCCCCCCCCCATGGCCGTCAGCGGGCCCTGCCCCCCCTCCAGGCTGACGCGGTCAGCGATAACCTCAGGCGCCTGCCAGCCTATGCTGCCCACGTGCCCGCCTGCGGACGAGGACGCCTGAGCGTTCGAGGCTCTGGCGCGGGCGGCGGCGTCGCCGCCGCCGCCGCCCTGCCCGTGATCTCTTCCCCCCGGTGCACGGCCGTACGAGGACATGCCAAAACTGATTGGGTTTGTCGATAGAACAGCACCAGCAGCACAGCGGAGGGTTCGGGTTAGGTCGAGGCTACGTTTGTGGGGTGGGTGGTCCGACATAAATCGCCGACATACATGGACAGCAGCAGAGTCAAAGAGCACAGACCCGTCGCTACTAGTCGTTGTGTAGCATCAATACGGTCGCGGTTGCTGTTGGCGGGGGCAACCGCACCGTGGCATCGCGAAAACCCTCTCACGCCCCACGTCGCACGTCGAAAGGCGAGCCAACGCCATACACAGGTAGAATTGCCGCAGACTGGTGCAGTCATCTTGTCCTTCTCGAAGCCCGATGCTCTGCCCTCAAGCCTACCTGCTTTGCCCGTTCACCAACTGCTTCCCAAGCCCCATGTCCGAGATCTTGAGCACGAACTTCGCCAAATCTTGCATGTTGGACAGCTTTTTGGGGGCTACCTGAGGCCCGTCTCCGTCCCCCACCCCCTCCCGTTCCCCGCCTTCCGCATGCTGTCCTCCCACCGATCTTCTGCCCAGCCCCGGTCCTTTTCGCTCCACAGCTGCGAGCAAAATGTTGTGTGGCTTGAGGTCCCTGGAGGTGTCCAACGTTTAAAACCATGGTACAGGGGGGGGGGGGTGCTAAGATCTAGGCACCATGAGGAACGCCTAATTGTCACAAGGGTACAACTACTGACGATTATATGCTCACCGCCAACAACTTGAGGTGGAACATACCACAACACACAAAAACGATCAGTCTTGGACTGGCTTGGGTGATCGTGCGCGAACGTACGGTGCGGGCGTATGTGCACACACGACCAAGCCGCTTCGGGTTCAGTTGACCTCGAAAACTCGTGACGGTTAGGCCCACCAAGAATGCAACTCGTTGCCCACCTCAATCACGCCCCACACCAGTCCGGGAAAAAAAAAAAAAAACGAAAAACACGACCGTCTCCCCTCTTGCCTACACGAACTCGCTCCCCGTCGCGCCCTCCTCCTACCACTGCACACCAGATATCACCACGCTTGGGAGGCGTGACTTTACGTTTCTATTGCCGACCAAAAGCATTTGCGCTTTTGATGGGTCACCTGTGAACGATCCTCAGGCTGTGCAGGTGCTCTACCCCCTGGCTGACCTGCAGCAGCGCCTCTCTCAGCTCTCGGGGCGCGCTCACGTCGTCCGCCGTCAGCGCCCTGCCGAGGCCTACGCGGGGGGCACCGGAGCGGCCGTTCTCGTGCTCCAACTTCCGGCGGGACTGGGCCTGCACGCACGCGACGCCGACGTGTGTGGGGCAGCGAAAAGGATAACCGCAAGGGGAGAGAAAGGGAGGGGGGTGGTGGTTTCAACAATGGCGAATCAGCTGACCGACCTTTCATGGTAAGAGAACAAACAAGAAAGCGCGGGGGTGTTTTTAATCTCAACAGCAGCAGCGGGGTTCCGAGACGACTCCCCTCCCCGAAGAAAGAGACGACACACGTACGCAGGTCATCGTCGCGGCTTGCGGGGACAGCAGCAGCCTGGCAGGAAAGGGAGGCGAGAAAAAAGCACAGCACATCGTCTTCAGGCTACCAAACAAAACCACGAGAAGCATCAGCTACTTCTCCCCCCGTTCTCCTGCTTCGCACGGCAGCATCAGTATCACATTTTGTATGCCCGTGGTTTCGCCTTGTCTTTATATCTCTCACCAGAACCGAGTGTATCTGCGCCATGGCGTTGTGCAGGCTCTGCTGGCACAGCTGCAACGCGAGGTAGACGAACTCGCCAGCCTCTTCCCGGACGAAGTACCGGACCACGTTCGGGTGCCTTGAAGATGCGAGTGAGGGGGGGGGGG